GCCCTCACAGAGAAGGGAGAGCTTGTACCTGAAGGTGGGCGGGGGGGGGGGCTTCTGCAACTTACCTGGCTGCTTCTTGCTCCATGTGCCCGCCCCCTGGGCTCCTTACTGCTGGAGCTCCGCTCCTGTGCGCTCCCGCAGGAAATGACCCCTGACCGTACTGCCCGTTCCACATCCAAAAACAGAACACACAGAGAGAACTACTGATGCTGCATCATCTGCCTGTCCAGCTTTGGTCCTGGTGGCAAGAAAAACCTTGCATGTTTCCTAAAAGAACATCCTGGGTGGGGCCACAGTCATCTAGTAACACACAAATACGTGCAAGCTGTACCACGCTCCTGTGAGCTGTAAAATGCAGTTAACTCAGGGCCATTTTTTTTTTTTGTTCAAATGATTTAAATGATTGGAATGCACAATTTTAATATGCAAATAAAATATTTTAAAACCTGGGGGGAAAAAACAAGACTTGCATGAGAAAACTAATCCACGGTATGGAAATAACCTGGTATCCCTCCGGCATGTGTTAAACTGAGTTGCAATAATTCAGGATGTTTCCTCCCCTAGTCCCTCCCACCCAGCTTTTTTTAAAGCTCAACTGTCAGATTTCATCAGATGTGGCAAGCCGGCTTTTTGGTGGGGAAGTCAGGCACTATGCCACTCTTGCCAAAGACCGGGACCAGGGTGTGGTAACAGACATTGTGTGTCGTAATCCTGTCAGCTTCTGTAAACTGTCCAGACTCCATCCCTTTTTTTCTAGCCTCTTGCGTTTCTTACCAGTATTTTGAGCCTCATAACTTTCTCCATTGTTTCTTAGTCAGCCAAAGAACAGCAGGCCTTCCCAAATATGCCTGTCTACCTACTTACATATGAAGAGTCTTGCTGGATCAGGCCAAAGGTCCACTCTCCGGTTTCCCGGAGGCCCTCAGGAAGCCCAGACGGGGGGCCATTGCTTTCCCACCTCAATCAAGAGGGCCATCCCTTTTCCCTTCCCACCATAACTGTCCAGTGGTACACTGCTTCTGGATATGGAGGTTCCATGCAGTTATCGTAGCTATTATCGATCGATAGACATGATTTTTTTTCCTACTCCCCTAGGGGCCGTCACATCTTGTTGCCATGCAAGGATCCTAAAGGGCTGTTATGAACTTTGTCCCTAAGCGATAAAGACTGAACAATGCACGTCCTGTGTAAATAGGGACTGAAATGTGGAGTGACCCAGAACTGCATGCACAAAAGAAGAAAAGCCTTCCTGTAAAATGCTGTGTAAATGGTTTTTGGGGGGCAGGGGCCAAGGGGTCATTTCGTAGAAAAAGAGGTGCAGGAGCTCATTAGCATGACTTATTTGCATATGCCACACCCCCTGACACCCACCGCTCAGGCTCCACTGGACTGTTTTGGATTGCTAGCTTTTGGGGGTGGGACGGACGTGCAGATCTGTCCTCGCAGAGGAGGGAGAGCTTGTACCTGAATAAAACTTGTTCTTAAAGGTGCCACTGGACTGTTTTGGGCCAGGGGACTGGGGGGAGCTCTGCAACTTACCTGGTCGCTTCTTGCTCTGACTGAGGGCTGCTGGGAGCAGGGGGTGGGGCTTGTTGCATGTGCCCGCCCCCTGGGCTCTTTACTGCCTGAGCTCCGCTCCCGTGCGCTCCTGCAGGAAATGACCCCTGCTTGGGGGGCACCTTTCCTCTTACCGCTGTAAGATGGACCAGTCCTCTAATCGCACTAACTCATCAACCAAGGAAAGACAAAGTCCGCAGACTCCGTGGTGAGCCCTTTCCTTTGCACACAGACAACATCCTTCTCCCTATCCTAATCTGTGCACCCAGCCAAAACTACAGATACAAGATAATCAGGACATGGCAAGAACTCTGGCTTGAGTCATAATCCCGGCGGATGCCACTGCCCAGACCAGTGTTTAGTAAGATTAAACATTGACCCTACACACACCCCCTTAGACCTTTTGCCCCTCGACTCCAGCACCAATCGATACAGTTTCGGGGACGGACCAGCAGGAGGTGTG